TGTCAGGCCCAGCGATACTGGGGTGGGGGTATAAAGCAGATGCACACACAGCGAAGACTTGAGGAAGTGTCTTCCTTGACTTGACTGCTTTGGGAGAGTAACAGCACCCTTGTCATGGGTTCCATGATACAGCCCAGGATCCTCAGAGCAAATTCCCCTTTCTGCTCAACAGAGCTCAACCTGGGTTCCTTTCTTCTTTTTCTTCTTTTTTTTAATTCTTCATCTTTTTCTTTTTCCAGAGACACTATGGTGACTTACTGAGCTAGGTTTCTACTATGTGGAACTAACAGTCTTAACCAAACCTGTGACTTCTGAAAAGCATCCAATTTTTATCTAGAAAAACTAGAGAAGACAAATGGAGGCAAAAAAAGGAAATCATCTTTGATGAAGCAGGATGGTCTTACTTTGCATCTCCTGTCTTGTGAGCTGTTCGATCTTAGGTTATGTGGAGAACCTCTCTGGAACTCGATCTGCTCATTGTAAAATGGGAATCTGCACAGGATCTCAGAGTACGTCTGACGATTAAAGGAGACACCGCATGTAAAGCTCTCAGCGAGCACCCAACATGTAATGGCTGCTTCTACACGTTCAACGGGCATTTGCCATGAGCCAGGTTCTGTGCTGAGTGCTCTACAAACATATCCTAGGACCTCCACGACAATGACGAAGGCAGCATTAGCCCTGCTGCACAGGGGAAGGCACCGAGAACTGAAGTACCCTTTCTAAGGTCACTCAGCCAAAGCTAGGTCTCTATGAAAGAAATTCCTTGCCTTTCTTGTTTGTTGACTGACTTCCCCATACCGTCCTCTCAAGCACTGCAGAGAGCTGAGGCCACGCATGTCGACCATAGTGTCTGTCAAAACCCTTCCTAGGAATCTGCTCCAACATGCAGTGGTGGGGGTGGTGGGCTTTGCTAGAAACTCCAGCACATCCTGTGTTCCCTGCCATGAGACTCTCCACTAGGATGACGGGACATACTTAAAGTCAACCTTCGAAATTCTTGGCAGCCCCGTAAGATGCTTAATAAACACTGATTGAATTGAAGGGTTAAAATGCCTGGTGCATAAACATAAATTCCTAAGCTTTTGTGATGGTTTAAGACCCTCATCTTCAATACAAGCTGCTCAGAATGTCAATTTTATTCTATTTTGATTTCTTAGGACTTTAACTGTCACAGGTAACAGAGTCTTTCTATAACTAGAATCTCCCCAAACTAGAATATCAAGGTAAGATTTTAAATATGATATACAAGCTCAAAATATTAGAAGAGCAAGGAACCCAGAACAGCCTCTTCACATTAAGTGAAAAAGAAAGGACCAGAAAGCTGAAGAGAGGTGCCCATGGCTGGTCTGAGGCAGGGCCTGGCCTGCTGCTTCCCAGTGGGGGCTCACCCTCACCCCAACTCTGCCTCCCTAGCTGATCCTACTGTCTGCACTTCCTCCTGCAGAATCAAAAGGATCACAAGGAAGGGATCATAAGTCATTTTTCTCTCATGAGTTTATAGTATTCTTTTCTGAGGAGTTCAAAAGCATTCAGTAATAAACCAAGGTGATGAGTTTATGTCTTTAGGCTTTTTAAATGAAACTTTATTTGAACTCCTGGAGAGGCATTTACGTTTTTTAATTTAGGACATTCCTCTCTTATTTCATGGCTTCACCCCATGGCATTTTCTGTGGGTGGGGAGGTGATGGGGGTGGGTGCTGGGGCGGGAGACTGGTCTGTGTCTAGGCCTCCCTTATTCCCCCATAGGCTTTTGGAATGCCTGACACGGCCACAGCTGAGAGTGCCCTTCTAGACCCTTCTAGAGTTTTCAACAAGTCTCAACATCAACACGGGGGAGACCCCCCCCGACCCCCACATTGGCTTGGCTGTTTCTTCCTATGCCTTTTGTGCCCCTCTCCACTGCCCACCTCTTCTTGCCACAGCCAAGAGCCAAGCAATGGATGGGAAATCAGCTGTGTGCAGGGGGCTGAGATGCCTACGAAGCCGCTTCACCTTCCTTTACCCTGGGCTTTTGCTACAAGCCTTTGGAGATTCAAAAAAAAAAGAAAATACAGTTAGCAAAGTTAACAAAATCGAGACTGAGAACAACCACACTTTGGGGGTGGGAAGTCGGGTGGGAGAGGTGCCTGTCTCACTCATGGCACCTCCTACACCAACCCAGGTTTTAAACAAATGTGAAACTGTTTTACTTTGGCCCAAGCTTTTTTGCTAATGATTTTATTCAGGTGTAAACTCTAAACCAAAGTGCAACAATTAACCACATGCAAATGCTCCCTGCTACCACACAGCCTCTCTAAACAGAAACATGAGGGCTGCTGCTCGTGTGCAGGTAGAACCACATGCTTAGCTTCTGTGCTCCTGTATTCAATAAATATTTGGTGAATGAATAAACTCAAGAAGTACTTAACGATTCAATATATGTCTAGGGTTTTTATTCCCCCTGGCTTCACGGGCCAGCAGGCCAAACCATACAAAACTCTCCAAGTAAAACCACTGCATGGTTGTTCCAGGCAGAGAAGGAAACAGTTGGGTTCTCCAAGTGACTTCAACAAGTGCCCCCACCACTACACTGTGGGAGAACTATAGAGTGACCCTGTGATCCCTGTTCCAACCCATTTATAGACACAATAGACACGAAGATGGAGTCCCAGGAGACTGGGGGAAAGCAAATTAAACCAAGGAGCTGAGCCCTGTCTGGCAGCAGTTTCAGTATAGAAGAAAATATTGTATTATTTGTGTAATACCTACAAGGGAAGCACTGTTCCTATCCGATATATGTAGCTGGCATTTCTCCTAGGAAAACACTATGTTATCCTTAAGGGGGTCACTGCTCTCCTACCACCACTAAGCAGACTGGGCCAACTATTTAAACGATGAAGTATCAGGGCCTGAGCCACCTAAAACACCTCGATTCAGCTTCATGAACTATAAACCAAACAGGTAATAATTCCTGTGGAATTCTTTTTCCCAAGGAAAGGACCAGAGAACTTGACAAATGCCCTGAAGCTACTCAGAACACAAGAGGGCCACAAAAATCACAAACAGATTAGACCTATGAGGATCCCTAGGGCCAAAGTTCTTTCAGGGCACACCGGCAGGGGCTTCTCCAAGTCTGGGAAAGGCTCCCCTCTCTAGTGCTCTGCATCAAAACCACCTCTTCTCTTGCTTGGATCTCCCAAGACAGCCTCAAGAGGTCAAGAACCAGGACAGAATGAGATATCACTTATCTCCAGTGAGAATGGCCTTTATCAGAAAGTCCCAAAACAATAAATGTTGGCGTGGATGCAGAGAGATAGGAACACTCATACACTGCTGGTGGGACTGCAAACTAGTGCAACCTCCGTGGAAAGTAATATGGAGATACCGTAAAGGGATACAAGTAGATCTACCATTTGATCCAGCAATCCCATTACTGGGCATCCACCCAAAAGAACAAAAGACACTCTATGAAAAAGACACCTGCACCTGAATGTTTATAGCAGCACAATTCACAATGGCAAAGATGTGGAAACAACCCAAGTGTCCATCAATACACGAGTGGATTAATAAAATGTGCTATATGTATACCATGGAGTACTATTCAGCTTTAAGAAACAATGGTGATATAGCACCTCTTGTATTCTCTTGGATAGAGCTGGAACCCATTCTACGAAGTGAAGTATCCCAAGAATGGAAAAACAAGCACCACATGTACTCACCACCAAATTGGTATTAACTGATCAACACATAGGTATACATATAAGAATAACATTTACTGGATGTCAGGCAGGGGGGAAGGGGAGGGGGAAGGAGGGGACGGGTATATGCATACACAAAGAGTGCAATGCGCACCATCCGGGGGATGGACACGCTTGAAGCTCAAACTTGGGGGGGGGGTAAGGGCAACATATGTAACCTAAACATCTATACCCCCATAATATGCTGGGGAAAAAAAATAATAAAAGAACCACGACAGTTTTTTCCCCCATAGTACCCAGAACAGTAGCTTTTGAGAATGTAAAAAATATCCAAGCAGTAACACTATCCTTAGAAGACACCACCTTTCTTCCAACCAAAATTCAAATAACTTTCTCTGAACCTTTCCTTTTAACAAAATGATCCAGTTTAAAACAGGTTGTTACTTGTCATATTTTAAGACTGTTGATGGATGGCTTTCCAAAGTAAATTTATTTCTATCTTATAGTGCAGTTAGAAGTAATGCTGACCTTGGCTAAGAAGTCTTTTTTAGTGTTTCTAAATGGGTGACAACAGCCAACGGCAGCAAATGTTTTTTGAGGGCTTACTCTTGTGTGAGGTGTTTGCATCTCCTCTCACCTCCTAACCACCCTATGAGGTAAGTTCTAATACAGGACCATAATTGCTGTCTGCCATTCTGAAACCAGAAAAGCTCTAAAACTCAAAAGTTTTTCCATAACTCACTTGGCAGCAAAATTTAATGGACCTGAACTCATGTGAAGGCAAAGCGGCCCTGAACTAACATGTGGCTATTTGGATTTTAGTTATCCCACTTAATGTGAATATCCATATGGTCTGCTATACAAATATGAACGTGTTTGATTACCAAGAGCCGCCCCAGATCTCCTGGAGGTTACTTAATGTGAAATATACACATCTTAATACCTTTCTAAACCCAAAATTTCAGAATTCTGAAATATCTGGCCCTAAGAGTATAAAGTATTGTGAATCTCTGTCATCAGCCCATTTCACAGACAAGAAACTGAGACTCCTTAAAAGGAGAGACTTGCACAAGGCCACACAGTGGACAAGAGGCAGAGCTGACTCCAAGGCAGGCCGTCTCCGTCAGAGCCTGGGTTTGTAAATACCATGATGGGCCTCTGCAAGACATGTCTCAGTTCCCAGCTCACATGCCTTCAGCTAGAAAGGAGCACTGTGCCAGGATAGCTCTTTTCCACGAGCCACTATTTGAGGAATTAGAGAAATGGAAGAATAGGAAACACCAGCCAGAATCACAATGATTTGAAGGGCCCGGGGCTTACCTTGCCCAGGACAGTAAGGCATGGTTTCCGGTCCAACTCCGGCTGTTCCAGCTTCACCACTCCTACCCAGCCGTATTCATACAAGTCCTCTTCGTCATTGTTATTACACAGGCCCAGTGGGTGCATCTAGGAGACAAAATGGAAAGACAATGTCAATAGGCAGGCTACAAACTTGCTTGACTCACATTGTACATTTCTCAGATACTACAGCCAAAAGCAGTTTCAAAACTTTGAAACAGCAGTTTTTCAAACCATGGGGAACTCTATTCTAGCACAGTGAGCTGAGCACTGGGGAGAACACAACAGAGCCATGGTAAATATATTTTATGGATGCGTTTTCACTGCTTTGTAAGTGATGGTCATCCAAGGCAGAAACCACCCAATAGAATGTAGGGAACGAAAACAGCATAATTCCCATATAAAAGCCAATCTAAATTGCTGTGAAATACCATAAATTTAACATTAAATAGCAATTATAGATGAGACTCACTTAGGTTAACATCCAAGACTTCTAGACCTCAACAACACATCTATTTTGTCTTATACAAGAGGACCTGGAAACACATCTGGGACTTTATGGAGAGACCACTAGAAATATAGCACAATCATCAGTTTAATTAACAGGCTGTTTAAAAGCTATCCCTGGTTACTGGAAAACAGATAAAATTCTTTGAGCTCTTTTCAAAATTTGCAAAGCATGAAATCAAAGATGGGTAGAAGAGCATCGTCAAATTTTAGCATGAAAAAGTGCAGTCAAACCAGAACAATCCTAAGGTTTGTGCTCACAGTTCTATCATCGAGCTGTTTCAGGACCTAGAATCCCTCATAACAATCTGAGAAGAGGAAATCCTCACGGGTAAACATAACTTATCGAGAAGTTGATAAGCCTAGCACTGCGTGTGCTAAGCTCTTAAGAGGAAGAAATACATCTTTAGATTGATGGCAAGGGAGAGACATGGAAGACCTAAGAATCCACCGTAGACAACATATGGCCCCCAAAGACATCCATGTCCCAATCTCCAGAACCTGTGCATAAATTACCTTATACGCAAAAGACGTGATTAAGTTTGAGATGGGGAGATTCTCTGGGTTATCTGGGTAGGCCCAACGTAATCACAAGGGTCCTTACTAGGGAAAGGAGGCAGCATGAGAGACAGAGAGAAGACATGTGACAACAGACACAGAGACTGGACTGATGTGCTTTGAAGATGGAGGAGGGGGCCGTTAATCAGGAACACAGGCAGCCTCCTGAAGCTGCCAAAGACAAGGAAAGAGATTCTCCCTTTGAGCTTCCAGGAGGAATGCAGCCCTGTGGACCTATTTGGACTGCTGACCTCCAGAACTGTAAGAGAGTAAATTTGGATTGCTTTAAGTCACTAAGTTTGCAGTAACTCATTATAGCAGCAAACAGGAAACTAATACACCCACCTTATCCCCAACTTGTTCTACAGATGAGAACAGAAATTCAAGATAAGTGGCTTTTCCAAGACAACACAGTCAGCGAGTGGCGCACCCAGAGGTGACCTGGCCCTCAGATTCATAGCCAGTGCCCTCCCACTCTACCTGCTCACCTCATTGTCCCTCTGGGAGCTAACAATCTGACTGGGGGTGGGGAACGACTAGGAGATAAAATTTTTAGGGAAAAAACGTTTACAGCTCTAAATCCTGTGGCACTCGAGTGCAACATAAGTTTAGTGCAGACAGCAAGAGTTGCTAGAATGTTAGCAGAGGTTCTGTGAAGCTGCTGAGCCTGAGTGAGCTTCAACGGAAGAGCTAGACTGATCAGAGCAAAAGGAAAGAGGGCAGTCAGTTGCTACAAGGCCAGAGAGAAGTTGCTAAGAGATGATGTGGAGGGGGAAGGAGACCAGTCTGATCAGTAGGAAGGGTCACCATGTGCACTAAGAAGGAAAGAGAAGGGCTCAAAAACTAGAAAGGAGTCTGGACACCAAGATATCACAGGTTCTTAGGCAGAAGATGGCACACTGAAAACAGTTGTTGCAGGCAGACGGGTAACACTCTTTCGGGTAATGGTATTAATATATATGCCTGGACTCGAGAGATGGCAACAAGAAGAGAGCAAAGGGTACAGCCCAGAGATGACAGATCCTTGGCAATTCAGTGGAACAATGGGGAAGGGGTTGAACAAGCCTGTAAAGCAGGTGAGGGGGTCACCACCGCTGAGCATGGGGTGCTACAAGGGGCTGCCAGCAGCTGTCTTTACAGTGGGTGAGTGATACTCCAGCCCCTAGGAATTCCAAGATACCAGACAGAGAACACTGGGACATCCAATTTTTGCATGAGTCCTCAGGCTCAAAGAGTTTGCCTGAAGGACCAGTTCTGCAGTGCAGTGGACAGTACAACCTTCCCTTCACGATGCTCCTGCAGGACTCAGCCCACTCTAGATTTTTAAAAATTTTTTTTTATTTTTAAAATTAAATAATAATTTAAAAAACTGGGTTGGGTGCAGTAGCTCAAGCCATTTTGGAAGTCCCAGGCAGGAGGATCACTGCAGGCAGGAGTGTAAGACCAGCCTGGGTAACATAGCGAGACCTCAACTCTATAAAAAAATGGAAAAATTAGCCAGGCGTGGTGGCACACGCCTGTAGTCCCAGCTACTCAGGAGGCTGAGGCAGGAGGATCGCTTGAGCCCAGGGAGTTTGAGGTTGCTGAGAACCATGATCACACCACTGTACTCTAGGCCAGGCAACAGAGCAAGACCCTTCTCTTGCAAAAAAAATATTTTTTAAACCTTACTCATCCTGATGTGGTGTCCACAGTGCTCACAGGAAGGGAGGAAGGAGACCCCATCCCCACGCCTCCCATCCACTCTTGACTGCCAGCAATGGCTGGGTACGGGCCTGACACTCTAGCACCATCCATTTTCAGGGCTAATTGATTTGACAGGTGAGTTGTTACACGCACCTTAGCAGATTCTGACTTCCATAGCCACCATCCGGCTTCTAAGAAGGTTCTGTGGTTATTAAATGATGAGTAGTCTGAAATGCCAAGACTTCTGACTAGCAAAAAGATGAGTGAGGATGATAAGCCAATTGCATCAACAGCTCAGTCACCTCTGACCTCCAGGAAAGGGCTTGAGGCCCAGCTCAAGCCAGTTTCCTGGAGTCCCAGGTCAAGTCATGGTAATGGCAACCACCCTCTTGACCTTTTTCTATAGTATTCTGTGATGTTTTTTACCTTAGCCACGTGACTTAGAGGTTTCCAGATGGATAACCACTTTTTGATACTCACACATTTATGGGGTTTGGTCAATGATAAAGAGTTGCTTTGAAGGATCAGAGGTATCATCCAGGCCTAAGACCTTGTATCTACATAAAAAATTCACTAAAGAAAGAAGCCAGGCACAAAATACCACCTATTGTATGAGCCCATTTACATAACATGTCCAGAAAAGGCAAATTTATAGGGACAGAAAGCAGACTACTGGTTGCCAGGGGCCGTGAGGAGGGAGAAATGGGGAGTGACTGCTCAACGGGTGCAAGGTTTCCTTTCAGGTAACGAATATGTTCTGGAACAAGACGACAGTGATGGTTGTACAACACTGTGAACATATTAAATGCCACTGAATTATATGCTTTAAAATGATTAAAATGGTGAATGTTATATGAATGTTATTACAATCGAAAAGGTTTTTTAAAAAAACCAATCTGTCCTAAGAGTTTACTCAAAAATTACTTACACCCTGCCTAGTGCTGCCCTCAGCTAACATGGGGATCCAGCAGAAGACGGGGTGGTTTCTACCCTTCCAGAGCTTAAGCCGAATACAGTGGCTCTCTGGAAACTGAGTCCTGCAGAATACCAGCCCTATAAGATGAAAAACAGGTTCTTGCACAAGTAAGTTATGTTGAGAAGCATTTCATAGAAACTCAGGATCTACATGCGTAAATTAAAGCTCTGCAGAGGCCTATGGTTTAAAAAACAAAAGGTTTTTAGCCTTTGCTAAACCCACCATTTCCTACCCTTTGATTACAAGCCGGTTTTGCATTTAATCTGATCACTGTTTCACAGGACACACTTTGAGAGATGCTAAATTAGGGAGACACATGCACATGCATGACAAAACAAACCTACAGTAACCATGACCCAAGGCCAAGCTCCATGTCCACAAATGCTGCACACCCACGACGCAGAGTTAAGGCAATGGTGGAAAGGGACGGAGGGATGGTTGGGGACAGCCGGAGAGAAGGCAAGGCCTGGGAGGGCCACAGATATGGAGACAAGGAGAGGGGACGGAGAGGATTAGGAATGGGAACCGAGAACAAGAGAAGCTGAAGCTGAAGCCTGACCTGCTGCAGCCACAGTGGAGAGGAAGTGGGCCTATGGAGAGCACATGGCCACAGGGAAGGCATGTTGGGAGCGCATTTTCAGGCATGCAGAAATCTGAACCATGTAAGACTCAAACACACCCAAGGATCCCCTTGGGTCTGTCAGGGTCTCCTCAGGTCTGTCAGGCTGGCGCCCTGGACCACCCTTCATGCCAGACCCTCTCTGCCCTCCTTGGCAGTCAGGCCCCCCCACTCTCTTCCAAACGCTCCCCTACCAAATCTTCGGCTGACACCAGGTTGGCTGTTAGCAGCTCAACACATCAACCCTGTCAAGGGTGTTGACTTCTCAACAGGGATCAAAGACTTAAAAACCAAAAGGAATTTTTCTCAAGTGCCAACGGGTATAATCAGTTGGCGTGGGTTGTTTATTTTCCCGTGGTGGGTAAAGAAACCACCAAAATCACATCTCAGAGGATGAAAAACCTACCTCACCACCCTTGCTACCTTCCCATCTCCACCCTGAGTTCCTTATTCCAGGTTGTATCTCCAGGTGCCCAAACTTGCAAATTCAATCTTTGTATTATGTCTCTCAAGTGTAACTGGCCTCTCCGAACCATTTCCTGAATATCGTACTGTATAATTCAGGTCTCCGTCAGCTCACCCCTGAGGACAGTATCAGCTTCCGGCAATGCCTGCCACTTCAGGTCTCCAGCCATTTATACCCCGAGGTTCTCTTTTCCCAAGGGCTCCAAGTTAAAGCTCAGGAGAATGTTTTATAGGGAAGTAGAGGTAGTCATAACATGAAAATATTCATCAGTGAACTCATCTGTCCCAAAGGACAGA